TGGGTCCCAGCGTCTCCATCGGTGCCCGTGCAGTCGTCGGCGCTGGAGCCCGTATCAAGGACTCGATCGTGCTGGAGGATGCAGAGGTCAAGCACGATGCGTGTGTGATGCACTCGATTATCGGCTGGAGCAGCCGGGTGGGAGCCTGGGCTCGTGTCGAGGGAACCCCAATCCCCATGACAAGCCACTCCACCAGCATCATCAAGCATGGCATCAAAGTGCAAAGCATCACCATCTTGGGTAAGGAGTGCGCTGTCGGCGACGAGGTACGAGTACAGAACTGTGTGTGTCTGCCGTACAAGGAACTCAAGCGGGTATGTTAATTGACTCTTCTGCATTACTCAATGACACTAACATGGTTAAACAGGATGTTGCCAATGAGGTTATTATGTAGTGGGATATTCAAGATGGCTGTTTTGGATCTATTTGGGGGTTTATACATATTGCCCGTTACCACTAATCTGTCCGACTCTCTCATCAACACTCTTTACTCCTCTAAGCCATTTTCTTGGACCTTGACAAAGGTTGACCGTCTGGGCCAAATGACGGTGACAATTTTGGTATAATTCGATATCAGACAGATCATGAATTGATAAAAACGCTCAAGTACGCGATGTTTCGTCTTGCCTTGTGATATTCGTCCCATCGCAGAATGAACCATGTATATATCAAAGTCATAACACATCAAAGAATGGTAGAAATCATAAACCCGGCAGTCAGGTACTGCTTGTCCGGATAACAAAATCACCGATAAGCCCCGGGATCATACGCCGTCTGCTCCGCAGGATGGCCATACCCCGGACGTCCAACACCACTGAACCGAACCCGCGGCCCACCCCGCTGACTTCTCGCCGGCGCAGTCTCCGAGAACTCTTGCGCCTCGCCCGCATGGTAATGCTCCGCCGATGCATTCAGCCCATACACAGGCGGCGGCACCCGGTACGCCGGGTGATTCGCATAATCCGGGCCCGGGATATCGGAGATTCCGTGACGATCTGGGTAGGGGCTCTCATGGAGCTGATGCTGATGCTGATCCTGGAGCGGGTGCCGCTCGTCGTCGAGTGGGAGGCCGACGTTAGTGTCTGTCATTGCGCTATTGTTGCGCTCGTGCAGCTTGATGTCTGGGTTGCTGGTCATGGGGTCGTATGTGCCTAGTCGGGTCTGGCGCTTGTGGATGATGATGTCGAGTGCGACCGCGGCGATGGCGGCAAATGTGCTGGTGCAGGTGAAGGTGAAGAGAGCCTTGTAGGTGCGGCAGACGCTGATGCCGGTTGAGGTGGCCCAATAGGTTGCGTTGCAGGTGGTGAGGATGGTGTGGGACATGCTCCAGCTCAGAAGGCCAAGGGAGATGAGCCAGAGGATGAGGAGGATGGTGTTCGAGAGGAGGGAGAGGCGCGGGGAGAGGCCATAGCAGCAGTGGGTGAGGCTGGTGAAGATGTAATTGAGGATAGAGAGGAATGCGGAGACGAGGAGCTAGATGACGGTGAGGTTGGCTTTGAGATGGTCTGCAAGGCACAGAGAAAAGTACTTACCAGTAAGAAGGCCCAAGGAAGTTTATATCCGCCGCTTTTGAGATGATAGATAAACACGGCGAGGATGATGCCGACGATTACTGAGGAGAGTAGGGAAATTGCGCGGATGGCATGAAAAGGTACAGGAGGGTAGAGAGACGGCTTTACAGATTTAGAACGCATCTCTATGGTTGTGGATGGACGCGATGGGTTCTCTGACGGAGCTCAGTCGCTTCAGCATCAATTGTCCAGTATGAGATACTCTCTGTAGAGGAAGCCTGTGGAGAAGTACGTATACCAAGTGTTGTCCACCGTTGATTCGAGGCTATCCCGAGATAAACAAATAGATTGCCGTGACAGACGTCGACTGACCACAACGCAGGTTTGTAAATTTTGCTGGACCAGCCAGAGAGGTGAAATATAATCTTTAAGTAGAATTCCAGCTGAACAAGAAAGCTGCGTCACCCCCAAGCTCAATGCAATGCAATGCCTCCCTTGGCGATGATCCACTGCGGGTGTTGCTAAAGAAAGAAAACACGCTAAACTAAACGTTATCGATAAACAATCGTCGTCAGGACTCGAGAAGGCTAGATTGGACTGAACATTCTTGTCCCACAAATGCCATCTGGGAGCCGGTTCTTACTTGGCAGTCATTCTGAGAAAGCCAGTTTTGAATGATTCTCTCTCTCCGGATTTGAACCAGAGCGACGAGAGCGTTGATCGTTACCTTAGTTTCCTCCGCTTCTTGTTGCGTGTTTCAAGCTAAGTGATCTGCTTGGACGCTCCACGAGGACGCGGCACATTTATCAAGCAATCCCCACGGAGCATCAATCGTCTTGGGTGTATCGAGGACCTCGACTTCAGTCTTTCTTCATTCCCACATTCTTCTCAGCTTCGACTTAAGTTTGCTAGAAAGTCATAATTCGCTCCAGCAATTTATCCCGAAATCCGTACCCCGCCTGGTGACTAACAGCGCATATAGCCAAGGGACCTACACGGATTAGAAATCAACCAGCATTGTGTAATATCTTCTTTGACTGACACTAGTCGGCTTTGTACTTGAGTTATAATATGCCGGCGCTCTTGCTACCGTCTCTTTCAGGATGCCTCCATTGCATATCGCTTGAGATTCTGATTGCTACCCATTGCACCAAATATGGCTACCATCCTTGCTGGGACACTTCCCTGGCATGATGGCGAGAGCAAGATGCACACTTTGCTCCGAGTTCCGTTTAAACCCAATCCAACTGTCCCTTATCTCTATCCTGGAGCCGCATTCCTGGTACAGAGGTCTCCTTTAATGGCCTTGAGCACTATAGATCAGGATGGCCGACCATGGGCAACTGTGTGGGGAGGAGAGCCTGGCTTTGCCGCTCCTGCTTCGCAGTCTACTGTCGACATTAAAACGCCAGTGGATAGTCGATATGATCCTGTCGCAGAGTTGCTACTAAGAGGCTCCACGAATGAGGGCAGTGTTTCCGCAGAGACCGCTGGCCAGCCTGTCTCCGGGTTGGCGATCGATCTGGAGAACCGTAAAAGGGCGAAACTTTATGGAAGGAAGATTGCTGGATCACTGGACGCTGGGAGCCATGAATCTGGTCGAGACTGCCAAGGTCAAAGAGAAAATGGGATGGCGCACCTGTCTGTGTTCATCCAGGGATGTCTCGGTACGGTCTGGTTCCTATATATGGTTCTCGGCAAGTCTTTGCTAAATACGGACAGGCAATTGTCCCAAATACCTGAATAAGAAGAAGATAATTCCAGCTCTGCCTGATCCGAAACTGGTTACTGACGACCCCCAGCTACCACCAGCTGCAGTTGAACTACTCAGCCGAGCGGACTGCCTTTTTGTCGCCTCGACTCATGGTACTGAGGACATGGACACCAATCTCCGCGGTGGGCCTCCAGGCTTTGTACGACTCATGAGCAACGGACCTAATGGTGCTGTTTTCGTATATCCTGAATATTCTGGCAATAGACTGTACCAGACGCTGGGAAACTTCCAGACAACTCCTCTGGCAGGATACGTTTTCCCAGACTTTGACACGGGAGACGCTCTCTATGTCACAGGAAGAACCCAGGTCTTGATTGGCAAAGAAGCGGCTGCTCTGCTTCCACGATCAAATCTAGCTGTCAAAGTGACCGTCACCGCCGCTCGCTTCGTCGAGAAATCACTCGCCTTCAGAGGAATTGCAGGCACGCCCTCTCCATACAACCCAAGCGTACGTTACCTGGCCACAGAAAGGGTCAATCGGGTCGCTCAGTTTAATGACGATGTTTCCGTTACTGCTACCATGATCGCAAAGAAGATTCTTACTCCGACCATCGGTCTGTTTCGGTTTCGAATTTCAGATCCATCCGAAATCGGGACCTGGGCTCCCGGCCAGTATGCCACCTTTTCGTTCCAGGAGGAGTTGGACCTGGGCTATTGCCATATGCTTGATGACGATCCTTTGAGTCTGAATGATGATTATGTCAGGACATTCACTATTTCATCGTATCCAGGGCATGGACTGCCAGCGGATGAATTTGAAATCACAGTTCGCAAGCATGGCAACGTAACCAGTCACCTCTTCAGGACTAGTGAGCGCGCCGGTTTAGAGGTATCTCTCAAAGGCTTCGGTGGCGAGTTTAGGCTAGACGATCAAGGAGGTGACTGCACAATCCCGGTTATAGCGGGCGGAATTGGTATCACGCCCATTATTGCACAGCTACCAGGCATTGACGTTTCGCGCCTACACCTCCTGTGGTCCATTTCTATGACCGATGTGGGCATTGTCTTCGACACATTCCAGCGCTTCCCCCGACTGCCAGGCTCAACCACTCTATTTCTCACAGGATCTAAGCCAAATGATGATCAGGGGTCTCAGCAACTCGAAGCCATTATACCATCCGGGGCGAGAATCGAGCATCGTAGGATGGAGGCCCGAGACTTGGATACGTCCTTGGGGGATGCCTGGTATTTCTGTGGAAGTCCCTCACTCAAGGGCTCTGTCATGACTTGGCTCGCAGGGAAGCAAGTTATCTATGAGGATTTCACCTACTAGGTCTTATGTGGTTGGTCAACATTGGTCTGGTGATATAGGACTTGAGACTCTCATATCAACAATGCATTCCGTATATACTTGTCAAATAGATCACACAGAATGGTGTCTCATACTTTGTCAAGCTGATGCCTCAGGAATCCTATTCATAGGCATAGAGAGCCTGAGGCACAAACTATCAGGCCAGACGCGTATCGATTTGTTGCCTCCGCATCGGCCAAGATGGATAACAAGAGCTCCCCCTCTAAACTCCGCAAGCTTCTTCTTCATCTTCCTCTCACTGTCCACAATCGAGAAAACAAAATTCACTCCCAGCAATCTGTCGACCCCATAAACAGAAAATAATTGACACAGGAAGAAACCACATACCCGCCCCACACAATCGAGTCAATCAGGTTACCGATCTCACCCCTCACTCCCCGCGAGAGAGTGAAATCAACCAAAAATGTCCACTTACGAAGGTACCTTACAACCCCCCATCGCAAATCCACACGGTAAACATGCTAAGACACTCCCCCAGTCGAACACAACACAGCCGACCCCTCCATCCCCCAACAGCCCACCCGCCGCCGCCGCCCCGACCTCTCGACCTTCTTCTCGACCCTCTCCCAAATCAGCCCCGATGAGCACCGCTCCAGACCGCACGCCGTCCCCGTCCCGCGCGACGTAAGCGCCGCGTTCTATACTCTCGCTGAGGCGTTCGAGGCTATGCGCCGGGAGTCGGAGGGCGGGGGTGCAAGCGCTCGCGAAGGCGGCGAAAGCGGCGAAGGCGGCGATGGCGACGGCGACGATCTCCTGTCGCAGATGATTCAGACGTTGTTGCGGGAGGCGGATACGCCGCCTAAGGAGGTGGAGGGTGTGAGCGAGGAGTTTTGCGACGGTAGGTTTTGAGAATCGTCATTGAGGGTGGATGCGGAGCGCGGACTGACTAGAGGTTATTGAATAGTGCTCGACCGGGTCCCGCGTACGTCGTTGAAGGAGACGCAGACGTGTCCGATTTGCAATAACCCGTTCTTGGAGGATGAATATCCGCTCGTTGTGCGGCTGCCGTGTCATTCTACGCATTTGTTTGATTTGGAGTGTATCCGACCCTGGTTGCGGTTGCGGGGGACGTGTCCGCTTGATCGGACGGATTTTGCCAAACAGGAGCGTGAGAAGGCAGAGGCGCGTAGGAAGAAACCTGTCGAGGATGACGAGGAGGAGTGGGATGGTATGTATGGCTAGTTGCAGATTCATCCTGTTTCATTATTGTATTCATGTGCCATGTCATTACCTGCGTGGGGAAGTATCTTCTCTAGTATATTGTCTATCACTCTTTACAATGTATTTATCTCGCCCTACCTTTTCTCTGAAGGCTGGCCCTCCTTGGGTCGAATGGCCAGCTTGCCGGTCTTATCGATAACGGCCTCAAAGCCACTTCTCTCCAACAGCCCATTCTCATCCCTGACCACCTCCCGAGCCTCGAGCGCTTCGACCAGCTTTTGGTTCTCCCGATTCCCTTCTAGCAGGAACTTGAGACACATCACAGCGTGTTCCTTGATGTACGGGTTGTGAGCGTCAAAGTTGGTACAAGACAAGATAGTCTCGACACCGCCGTATCGGCGAATCTGATCCTGGACCTCGGGACACTTCCAAACCAGAGACGACAGAACGAGTACGACGAGTTTCTTGAGATTCCTCCACTCAAATTCAGAAGGATCCTCGGTGATAGGGGGCGATTCGGCCCTGGACCCGGTGCTGTCAGCGCCGTTTTCCGCCGGGTCAGGGTCACCGGGGTCGTATGGTCTCTCAACAGCCACGGGCCCTGCAGCTGCGTCTTGTTCATGTGCTTCTTTCGAAGGGCTGTTGCGGCCAAGAGATAGCGAACTCAGTTGGCCCTTGGGGATGCTGGCTTCGAGTTCCTTGATTAGCGTCACCAGATCATAAACAATCTCCCACTTGACAAGCAGGTTCTTCCAGTCGTTATTCTCTGTGAGTACAGCAAAGAACTCCAAGAATTGGTAGACACCCTCGTAGACTCGTTCCATGTCCCACAAATTCAGCGGGAAATCTTCTGGCAGGGCACGTCCGGCCCTGATCTGCCCTTGAAGGTAGATTAAGGCGCAGGTTTCGGGGATTATGTTCCCGCGGAAGATAGTAAATATGTAGCGAACCGTGAGGATATCAACCCTAGAAAGAGGTGCCGGGTTCTTCGTAGCGCTCTGCTGGGTTGCGCCTGTAACCGAGGCAGGAGAGTACTTTGCCCTGAAAATGTGCGTCAAGATCTTGACCACGACTGCCTGCGCGGGAGAGATGATGTCCTTTGGTTGCCCGAAGTCGGAGTAGGCGTGAGACATCAGCCCATTCTTCAGAACTGCATCCATAATCTGCACCATCATCTTGAAATATAGCTCATCATCAGGAAGGTCCCAGGCAGCGATGAAAATTAATAGCTCCCGCAAGAGATTTCGACCAGTTTCCTGGGTGAGAAGGATGTGGCATCTGAGAGCTTGCATGTTTCTCGATCCTGTGCGCTCGCCACCCTTGAGTCCAAAGCTGTCCACAATACCGGCCTGAATGATCATGGGAAGAGCTTCAATTTCCGCGGGACCTAGAACGAGAGGGATGTCAGTCAGCAGGCCACGCTGCTGATCACCAGGTCGACCTCGGTAGTCTTCGTCATCCTCATCGTCTTCTTCCTCTTCCTCTTCCATACTTCCATCAGCAACGGCTTCCAAGCTGTGCGAATCGTCGTCGCCAACTGTCCCTGCATCGCCGGCATCATAATCTTGGTCACCATGATCAGCAATCTGTGATGATTCCTGCAGTCGAGCCATCAACTCGTCCTTGGCTTCTTGCAAGGTCTCGGCCGCAGATTGAGCAGATCGGGGCATGCTTGTGTCTTCCTCCGTTATTGGTGCATCGCCTGCTGCCAGTGCGCCGTATTCGTTGAGGTCGGGTAAGTCAGCCCAGCAAATGCGAGGAAAACCGGCGGTTTGGCTGCGGTCTATCGTCAGGATTGCCTTTTTCCTCGGCGGCTCGTCTTCGGGGAGAGCAGGTGGAAGGTCTCTGGCTCTATCTTGGAGATCTGACCAGCCATCCACCTTGGCTCCAAGAATAGCAGTCAACGCGGCTCGTATCTCCTTCACCTGCTCCGGGTCCTTGCCCATTTCTTGGATGGCCGTAAGGTCTCGCCCCAGAAGTTTCTCCATGTGGTCTTTGATGTTTGCAAGAAGTAGCATGGCCGCTTCTTCTTTGATTGTCGCGGGCTCCCGCGGGAAATTCGAGATGGTTTCCAGTAACAAATCTTCCGCAGTCTGATCGTAAAGTGCCCTGATCGGGGGGTTGACAATCCTCTCCCCAATCTTGACGATTGGTGCCACCCCCTCAGCCTGAGCGTTAGCCTGATCAAGCGGCTCTCTAGGTTGAATGATATTGGAGTCGCCAGTCGAATGGTAGCCGAACAGATCTAACCACAAGACCATCTTCCGCTGCTCATTATGCATGATAAAATTGTGCAGGAATTGAAGACATGTGATCAATAATCGCTTATATAGATTGACCACTTTCTGCCAGCGCTCCTCGTTCCTCGCATTTGTCTCTCCGTCAAACCCCCGCGCGGTGACTCTCACACAAGTATCCACCAGTGCCAAAATCCTTTGATCAAAACCTTTCTCCGCCGCAATATTCTGCGCTTTCTTCGTCGTGGCGAGAAGGTTACGAGCTATAGTGCACAGGTCGTTCAAGCGCTCGATGTCTTTGACGAGGGAGAAGTAGTTGTATGCAATGAGATTTGAGGAGGAGTGTTCATAGTTCGCGGACGGAGGGCTCTTCCATGCAAATGATTGTGATTCCAGAACCGGGATCGCCTTCGTCAGTACATCCGTGAAGCCTTGCCAAATGTCCGGCGATAGGCCCAAATTGTGTCTGTTGTAAGTGAAGCAGTCAGACAGATGTCTCGCAGTTCAAGGTTACCAAAAAAATCATACCTGACGTCGCTCTCCTGGTGTGTTTTGTAAAGTATCTGTTTCCCAGCAGAAAGCATGTGTTCCAAGCGTTTATCGTCAATCATCCCACGAGTCTCATAGTGGCTCAAAGTTCCCGTCAGGATGACCTTCAACATGAGCTCAGCTGGGGTGCATTTTGGTTTAGTTTCTGCCGCTGGTCGGTCTGTCATCTTGACGGTTACCCGCAGTTATTACGCGAGACGGCACCGACGCGAGATTATTGCTAGAAAATGTACTAAATCGATGTAGTAGAAGTGTTGATTGCGACGACAAATGGGGAGAAGAAATAGTTGACAGAGGCAGTTTTTCCGGTTCCGCCGATCAAGGGTCCCGCCTACCCTTTTTGGTAAGCCCACATGAGAGCGTATTTTTATACAAGAATGGGCTGGTAGCGTTATAACGATCATATTATCAATATGTACGAGATTGAGAGTGATCACGGAAGAGAAATTATACACGGCGTCTGACAGGCATATTGAAAACCTCCCGTAGATTGTCCCAGAATCCCAGATCATAGATATTGTCAATCTCCCGCATACTGTTCACTTCAACCCATCTTGTGTCAACTGGCACCTGTGAATCTTCCTTATGAAAAATCCCATTTGAGCGTGAGCAGAGCCGAAAGCCGTCCTTGGGGGGCTCACCGTCCGTGACTACTAGGATCTGGTCACTGCTCACTGGCCAGGCTCTTTGAGCCGGAGTGTCCTCATCGGAGTGGAATGGGGTCCCATAAATCTCGCTTCTGGTGGACTTAAACACCAAGCCATCTGCAACATCCTCTTTCCAGTCTGACCATTTTGCGCTTTCATTTGTGGTCATGCCAGCCCAGATGAGGTAGGTGTGATAGAGCAGAAAGGCCATAGCCAATGGTGCTGTCATGGCTGTTAGCATGGCGATTGCACCAACCCGAATATCAGAAGCAATAGCTATCGCCCAGACATTGAGCCAGGTCGTCCAGTCTTGTGATTTCGATCGTAACGGTGAGCTCGACGGGATAAGTCGCTCTAGCGTTTGCGACAGAAGAGAGAAGCCAAGGCATGACCCATATGCCAACATCACAGATAGGGAAAGTAACAAAGATAAGAAGTAATGGTAGTTGTTCCGACCAACGCAGTTGGTCAGCCAAACGCAGTGATGATCGTGCCGCGAAACACAAGCATTGCAGAAACTGCAGTGCTTACTTCGCGCCGGTTTCAGGAAGTTACACGTACGGCAACGATGACCCGGATGAAAAATAACTCGGTCATATGGATACCGTGCCATCTCATCCTCATGGTTTTCATGAGTGATGTACGACTTGGAGACAACGCTAGCGTACAGAAAGATGTATGGAAGAACCGTGAGGGCTGGAATGCAGAGCCGATGAAATGTTGAGATTCTAGGCCATGCGCTCGGAATAAACATGCATTCTCCTGCGACGAGGAGTGAAAGAAAGAAAATCTTCGATGAGGGTTAATCGCCGATTAGCAAGGATGTCTGCAACAGCTCAATACTTACAAGTACGAGCGGATGGTTTTCGTGCAATATATAAGTACCGGACCGGTTCCAGCAGTACGACAGTCTGCTTCCCAGTAGATGAGAGTCCAAATATAATAGCACATTAGGAACGTGTATACAAATGATCCTATGGAGTAATCCAACGGGGGTTTTCCTACCGACACTACTCGTCAGCGGTGGCCAGTGCAAATGATTTTTCTCTCACCTAAGAGCAGGAAGCCTTCCGAACAGGGCCACAAAAGTAAATGCAGAGACTCCAAGTATGGCGATAGCCACCGTCCTCAGGACCCCCATCGTGACCTAGATCGTCAGAGGATCTTGGTAGAGATCTCCCGCGTTGTCAGTCTAGCAGCATGCCCGACAGGACCGCCTGCAGCTTGGATGACTATTGAAGATATAGTCTATATTGCCGTTTCACTCCGGTTTTAGAAGACCTGGCGGTCGACTCTTCTCGGCCTGCAGAAAGCACTTTAATGACTTCGCCAAGTCATTGTTACCACCTAATTCACGTGACTTCCACTACCCGAAGAGGAATGAAGAAGTGTTGTCATGATCGTGGTGCTGCCGTGAATGATACAATCTGATGGAAGACGGCCTTTGATTTCTTCTTCGAAACCATACCCTGAAATCAAAGTCGAGGTGCATGGAGGCAGTGTCCTTACAGCACCGAGAATTAAATTTTCGACGCGCGAACACGTGATTACGTGTTGTGTAAAGTAGCCCGCGACGGGAACTGAAAGAGGGAGAGGGGAAGAAATCCATTTAACTATCTTTCGAAGGCAGATGGACTAGATTAATCATGACAGGAGGTAATGTGGAGGGCGAAGATGGCGGCGGTAACAGTAGTGGCAGCCTTCTCTTCGACGGGAAACAGTTCTGGTTGTCTCACAACATTCCTCAAAGGAGCAGATTCAAAGAGTTGATTGAGGTATGTTTCTGTGTGTTTATGCTCTTCTACTCTAAGCTGATGGTACTCTAGTCCAATGGTGGTATTGTAAGGCTTCAGGAGAAAGATGCAGATATCAAACTGGTGGATCATACAAGGAAAAATCTCCCAACCGACACGTACGTTTTACCATTTGTCCGGTGTTTCTTATGAAAGTAAGCTGAACACTTCAGATACTCTTTCAAATTTGTGGAAGACTCTGTCCGGAGAGGAGAACTGGCAGACCTGGAAGCTTACAGAGCTGGACCTTCCGCGCCGCGGCCTGTGGGAGCAACACATATCTCAACTAGAGCTCACAAAGTCGCATATTCACTACAAGATGACCAGCTGCTATGGGACTGGGTGCAACCGTATGAGAAAGATCCAAGGGCCCCAATCAGCGGTAACCTGATTTACAAACAATTAGCGGAGAAGGTAGGCCCATGCCTCTATCGGCTTGTCCCGTGCGAATTTCACCTCGTTGTTTGCTTACGATTTCTTGCCACTCTCAGCATCCACGACATACTTGGCAATCGTACCGTGATCGATATTTGAAGAGACTTCGTGGAAAATCACGTCCGGGGGGCGTGCCAGAGTCCACAGGTCAGGCTCCCAATCTGCCGGAGAGCACTATGAGACAGTCCCAGGTCCCTAGCACTACCTCAGCAAAGTCCCATGAGAGACGTTCTGAGAATGCTCCTGAGACTACAGAAAGGGTAGAAGCCAGAAAAAGAAAAAGAAGTCCTGAGGTCGGCGAACCAGACCGGATCGAAGGGCAGGGAACACATGATCGACCGAAGAAAAGGCCAACACTGGCAACCCTACCTGAGAAGAGCATATCTACTGCTCGTCATAGAGTACTTGAGGAGCACCCCACTCATACCGAACCAGTCGTAACTACAGTTTCGAAACGTACGGATCAACAAAGGAATGAAGAACCGAAACCAAAGGATACGGGAGGTGCCACCATGGCACACTCTCACAAAACCCAGCTGCCAATCGAAAATGCGGATAGTATCCCTGACAATTTCCTGTTAGAACTGCCGTTCTTTCCCTCAAGTCCGGAGTCTCAAGGAGAACCCTCTCAAGAGGAAGACATCGACACATGGATCGAAGACCGTCTGCGAACAGGCAAGGCAAATAACGAGGAACAAGTCATTGAGGCTCTACAGTGTACCAGCATGGACCCAAGCTTAGCCGACAAGGTTCTAGAATACCTTGCTGCTGGTAAAGGCATTCCCAAGGACATGCCTGGCGTTTGGACACCTGAAGATGATGAATGTGTGGAAGTGGGCAACAGCCGCGCTGTCGAACGAGTCTTGAAGAAGCATGGATCAGAGGCCTTCGAAGCGCGGTGGAATTATCTTAGCATGGCCAGGGCCGCGGGCCTTTCTGGAGGCATGGGCGATTGATAGTCACCTGTGTGAGATCTTTTCAACTGGCAAGCAGGATGTACGATAGGAAAGGCTGCAATTGTGCAGGCGAGAGATGATAACATTGTCGCATGAATTATGAACTAATTTGACCAATAATGACGAAAAAAGCAGCATGAGTGGGAGACTTATAGGCCCCGCTCTTCCACTATGGTCTCCTGGCATTGTCCTTTTTTACGACGAGAGTATTGCTGAATTGCGCGACCGCATCCAAGGAGAATATATCTTACAAATCAAAAACCATAGCTGAAGGCCAGTAACTCCGGTGAGCAACTCGCAATGCGCTGTGACCGTTTTACATTATGTGTCAAAAGAAACCTTCTCAATGAAACACCGTTGAGTCCTGAAACGAGAAGAAGCAAACCTAGGCGTCACCTTGTAAATCATGAGCCGAAATTTCAAGCGTCTTTGAAGACCCTAAAGCAAAGTCAGAAGCTGATACCTATCGGAGTTAAGGAGAAATGACGCACAGATGTTGCTCGTAGAACTTCAGCATCTACCGTATAGTTAGCGTGCGCTCAAGGATTATCAACCATCAAGCAGAACTTGCCTGTCTTGGGCATTTTTCGTAGCATGTTTCAATGGAGACCTTGGCTGTCTTGCCATTGGTCCATTTCAGAAATGCGATCAACGAGTTCGTCTTGGGGTCGCGAATGATGGTATCAACTTTCTCGACGTCTTTCTCCCAGCTCTTTGATCGAGGCACCCAATCGGGTACATCACTTGCCTCTGGCGTCTCTGTGCTGGTATCTGCATTGGCCGTAGACTTTCTGCGTCGCTTAGGCTCTGCTGGTGTGGCAGACTCCGCCTTAACGCTTCCCATTGACTTTCGCTTTCGGACAGCAATTGGTTTCTCCGGCCGACCACCTTGAGCTCTGAAGTATTCATCTAGGATCTCCTTTGCGCCCTCCCTGGGGGGTGTGAGCACCAGATTAGAGCTTCGGGAGAAGTGGCGAGGAATATCTTACAAGAGGTTCTCTTCTGGTTCCAATGTCTGATCTGCCGGGTCGTCGTATCCATGCCACTTCACTTGAAGCATAAGTTTGCCCTACCTGCTGGTTAGCGCCGAGTCGCCAATTGCGCTGATTGAGGGCGCAAGGAAGTAGTGGACGGGGGAGGGATTGCGATGGTCAGTTACATACGTCCTTTGTGAACTCATGACCCATGATCTTTTCAACGGTGTATCTGTCACATATGAGCATCGCGCACCAGCTCGGTAAGTCGGTCGTTGCACTCACAGCCCCTCTTCAACATTCTCGTCATCGTCCTCCTCTTCCTCCTTGGTGTCGCCAGCGATATCCTTGTCAGGTTCCACGTTGTTGTAAGGGATAGATCCGCCAGTGGACTCGTCGTCCGAAAGTTCCTCAACGGGGGCTACAGGCAAAGTCAGCTGGACATGACGGGTTCCGGCGCACAAGTCACCCATCACTCACGAGGCATTGTCCTAAAAGGATTGGGTAGGTTGAAAAGTTTGGAAAACGTTTTGGCGACGGTGTGCAATCTTGACCCTAAGGATAGGATTGATGGGCGACAATGATGGGATGCGACCAGATATATCTTAAAGGAGCTGACTTGGGGTATCGAGATGCACTTTGGGCTCTCTGCGGACGAGTCGCGCAGAAAGGCGCGTTGTGGACTAAACACGCTATACCGCATATGGAAAGCAGCTCACTAGCCCGACTGGGACATCTCCAGAAATTCTAAAAGTGCCCTCAATATCAGTGAACCCAGTTGTGTCCAGATCGTTGAACCTCCCCCCGCCTCATCGTTGCTTGTTCCAGGGACATCTTTTTGAAAATTATCTCACCTTGGTCTCAGGGTGCTTTTGTTGAAACTATAAGCTGCAAAATCCTGCCGGCTGGCAGACCGTCAAAATGGCGATGCGTATGTTCCTGATACCCCTCACCGAGAATCGCTCCATGTACTGACTCTGGCTGCCTTGATTTAGAACTTGATTTGTCTCAAGGTTGATTTCACCTCTGCTTCCGGCTTCCTTACGCTCCGGGTCGTGACTAACAGCTACAATAGCTTCCGTTATGAAAGATGAACAGGGTCGGCCGTTCATCGTTGTCAGAGAGTATGTTGCGGGAGACCCATACCCTGGCTTGTCTTGACTTTTGTCGAATATGAATCCTTGCTGCGGCCAGACGCTGATACAAAACCTACTCGCATTAGTCAGGGAAAGAAGAAGAGGCAGCACGGCACCGAGGCCGTGAAATCACACATTGTGGCTGCCAAGACCGTCGCCAACATCGTGAAGACTTCTTTGGTATGGTCCGGAGGTTTTGAGAAAATTGGAACGGCATCTAAGAATGATTATAGGGTCCCCGCGGTCTTGACAAGATTCTGATCTCCCCGGACGGTGATATCACCGTTACCAACGATGGCGCAACTATCCTCTCCCAGGTCCGTTCTTCAACCACCTCGGCGATCATCGATTCGGCGTGTCACTGACTTGCGACTGTCCATAGATGGAAATCACAAACAACGTTGCCAAACTCTTGGTCGAGCTCTCAAAGTCTCAGGATGAGGAGATCGGTGACGGTACAACTGGTGTCGTTGTCCTGGCGGCGGCTATGCTCGAGCAGGCGGCCGAGCTGATTGACAAGGGAATCCACCCCATTCGTATTGCAGATGGATATGATCAGGCTTGTGAGATTGCCGTTGCTCAGCTCGACGAGATCAGCGACGAGATCCCTTTCACCAAAGACGATACCGAAAATCTACTCAAGGTTGCGAAGACCAGTCTTGGTAGCAAAATGTGCGAACTTATTGACGCAAAATCTTTACATTTGGGATGATTGATAACTGACTCTGCTCTAGTGTCTCGAAATCTCACGACCAATTCGCCAAGATCGCCGTCGATGCGGTGCTTTCAGTTGCGGACCTCGAGCGTAAAGACGTCGATTTCGAACTGATCAAGGTAGACGGAAAGGTTGGCGGTGCTCTGGAGGACTCGCTCCTCGTCAAAGGTGTTATTGTGGATAAGGATTTCTCTCACCCCCAGATGCCGGACGAGGTTACAGATGCCAAGCTGGCGATCTTGACCTGCCCGTTCGAGCCTCCCAAGCCGAAGACGAAGCACAAGCTCGACATCACATCCGTCGAAGAGTTCAAGAAGCTTCAAGACTACGAACGTGAGAAGTTCACAGAGATGATCCAGCACTTGAAAGACTCAGGCGCCAACCTGGTAATCTGCCAGTGGGGTTTCGACGACGAGGCAAACCACCTTCTACTCCAGAACAAGCTTCCTGCCGTCCGGTGGGTCGGTGGTCCCGAAATTGAACTCATTGCCATTGCTACGAATGGACGGATCGTCCCTCGTTTTGAGGACCTGAGCCCGGAGAAACTGGGAACTGCAGGTCGCGTGCGGGAGATGACATTCGGTACCACCCGGGAGAAGATGCTTGTCATTGAAGAGTGTGCCAACAGCCGTGCCGTTACAATTTTCGTACGAGGAAGCAACAAGATGGTTAGTCGGACTTGTGCAGTGCGGAAGACAGAGACATGACTGACCCGTCTCCTAGATCATTGATGAAGCCAAGCGCTCGCTACACGATGCTCTCTGTGTCGTGCGAAACCTCGTCACAGATAACCGGGTCGTATACGGTGGTGGTGCTGCTGAAATTGCTTGCTCCCTCGCCGTGGAGGAAGCTGCTGTGAAAGTAAGTAGTCTTGGAATCCATGTTCCAATACAGCAACTGACTCATGGAATTTCAGAGCCCCGGCATTGAGCAATACGCTATGCGCGCGTTTGCCGATGCGCTGGATGCGGTGCCCTTGGCGTTGGCCGAGAATTCGGGTCTGAGCCCGATCGAGACACTTGCGGCGATAAAATCGCGCCAGGTTAGGGAGAAGAACTCCCGGTTGGGTGTCGACTGCATGTTGACCGGCAACAATGGTATGGGTTTGATGTTTTGATTGGCACAAAGGTCTATGCTTACATTTGCACAACAGATATGAAAGAGCACTTTGTCATTGATCCTCTGATCGGCAAGCGCCAGCAACTTTTGCTCGCTACTCAGCTCTGCCGCATGGTTCTTAAGGTACGAATTCCGACCCATGTGTGGCTGCCGCATGTGCTCAGACTGACTGAGAGCAGATCAACAACGTCATCATTGCCGGTGATGACAGCCAGGAGTTTTAGATTTCTTGATATCAACTAGCATAATTGTCCCGGCTGGTTGTGCTGGGGAGGTAATGTACCTATGTGATTCTATGTCTAGTGTAGAACATGGCGGATGCATAGAGAAAAATGTCCAACCGAACGAAACTGATGACACTTATACCTAGCAATTTGTACTGTGGTATGCAGATGTCGATCGCATCCTGTGCCCTCATTATTGTTATAGCCATTGACCAGAGGCCAAGCGCAGCATAAATTTTTCGGCCTTACAGCCAAGATGGGCTGTTGTCACTCGAGATTGCTAGTAACGGTCTATCTACCAAGTAGCGAGATCTCCTCACTATCTGAGGAGCCACTCTTGTCCCAAGTGGCGGTGACAATTATAGCCTGCACGTATAGCACTATACAGGACATGTCACGTCGTTCCAGAATACGTGCCTAGAGACAGCATATCATTCAATGGTCACAGTAGTGAAACCGCCAACCGGCAATCAAGTCCATGGATCAAGCTTCGCAAACTGAAGCCTCGGAGTTAAGAGTTCGGAACACAGCGAAGGACTTTTGTCAAAGATGCGGTCTAGAAAGGAGGGATAGTCCGAATTGACTGGCTTGGAGAGGACCAGGGTACATATATCTCCCAGGATCGTGGCTGACTGGTTCCTTCTTAGATATCCCCCAGTTCTGTTGTGGACGTGGTGGATAAGCGCGGGAACGGATGAAGAGCAGGAATAATAAGGTAACAAAGTCAATGATAGAATTCCGGAGAGACCACGCCTCCACGTTTTCAAGGCAGTCTGACTGTAGACAGCAACTGGCAGTGGCAGGACCTGACTCTCCATCTTCCTCCATTTCTCCACATTTTACCTGGTCCTTTTGGATTTCCAATTTCAACTTGACGGCCTTTCTGACCACGTCATTGGGCAACGCGTTTCCGAGGATGATTATCTCCTTTTCTGTCCCGCTGGAAGATGGGATGGTCTTTCAGATTGACCGAATCTCAGACCCATCCGAACAGTAATTGGAATAATAATAATAATAATAATAATGGGAACACTAGGTAGACAAAGGTACCTTCATTATTTCGAGTCCCGCGGTTGGTCTCCTGAATCTTCGCTCATTGGACGACAGCTGGAGAGCTCCAACTCCAGACTCCGTCAGCCTAAGGTAAGGTAGGTAACTAGGTACCTAGGCACCTAGGTAGTGTCTATCTCACGATCCATTGCACATGGAACTGGAAGAACCATCTCACTTCTGATTTATATACGCACTCGACATCCCATCCTGTTCTTCCGCTTCAACATCTATCTTTAAGATTCATCCGTCATCATATTCTTGGTCCATTCATCCTCTTCTGATCCTTTTTTTAAGTCAAATCATCTCGCCAGCGTGACTATCCTGATTTCCGAGGTATCTCTCCACGGACGAATCAGCGTTGGCGATCACGACATTTCTCCATTCTATCAGATCATCGGCTAGCCCCCAAGCAGGCTGAGACGATCACCAAGCAACGACATCTCGCTTTATTAAGGTGGGCTATTGTGGATGATTACTCAGGTTATCGACTTAGTTGGCTCTCTAGGGACCGGCAGGCTTGGGGATAGACAGACAGCTCCAGCACAATCCAACGAAAAACCTTCGTCTTCATCCGGTGTCTTACCTTACTTAGTTGCTCTCCTCATTCCCATCCCAGTCGCATCATCGTCATCATCATCGTCCAGCCTTCTTTTCTTCCCGTTACTCAATCCCATTTGCCGTTGTGTACGTGGCTGCATCTCCCGCGTTATGCGAACGCAATGATCAAGTGGGAAGCATTATTTTTATCCTTACAAAAAGCCGTGTGATCGCCGCATACCTAGCTACCTGAACTCACCAGCGATCGTCCAATCTTCGACCTCGATCATTCGTGGGCTCCTTTGTCAAAATATCCTCCCTCATCTTTTGAGCTTTCCCCTCTTCAGCTGATCTCTGGGGAGGCGCATGACATTCTTCTGGGTAGACTATATCTGTCATAATCTAATCTGCTCCCTTGTTCTTTTCTTTACTCAATTTGGCAAGAATTGCAGGTAAAAAAAAAAAAAAAAACGAAAAAAGAAAAGAATTTCCGAAGGAGCCAAGAAAAGAAAAGAACGACCAAGAAAAAAAAAGCCCCGGGTTAAGAACAAAAGTATCCCCCCAAGATGTCTGACGAGCAGCCTCAGCAATCTCTTGCTCGTCAAGTGGCTGCTTCAAACTACGAGAGACTGGAGAACTTCAACTTCTTGCTCTCTCGACACGATCCAGCTGTGGCGAAGTCTCGACAGTATTCCTTTGATGCCGATTCCGCAGCCCTAGCATCACTCCAGAACTTGAATATGGAGTACGATCAGACTGAAGGAATGGGGGGACTCTCCGTGAGTTCATACGATAGCATTGAGGATGAACGCAGTCCCATCGATGTGAGAGGTTACCCGTATCGTGGTAAGTCCTGAGCTTTTTGTATCCCTATTGTACCTACCCGTCTCCTATCTATCTATCCACGGCAGCCCTGTCTCGGCAGATGAGCCTGAGAGTTGCATCGGTTGCGCCATCTCCTTGTCTTTTGGTTCGTTTCCCTATGTGATTTGCTGGTCATGCGGATTTGCACAAGGCTACTGCTCAACCTTGCTTTGTTTTCTGAGGGGAGAAATTTTCTGAGGGGAGAAAGAAAGCTTCGTACATTGACTGGTTTTTCTGCCTTACCCCCTGTCTGCTTCTTCATTAATTTTGACTTTTGTCTTGTGCTTGCTCAACCGCGGGCTGGAGGGATAATATGCGTGTGGGTGCGCCTCACAGGGAAGTACCCATCTTGAATGCACGGTACAAACCCGGGGCTACAGACCTGATTGCCAGTTGAACCTCATATTGGCAGCGTTCTATTCCTCTCTTTTCTTTTTCCTCTTCGTGTGTTGTCCAACTTGTTTCCCGGTTCTTTTGTCCCCGTCGACCCCAATTGTCCACCGTTTCTCTCAAGAGGGCCGCTGGGCGGCATCCTACTCGACGATGATCACGCAATCCGTTGCACCAATGACACCGTCTGCACCCCAATCCCTGATGGACGCTTATCCGCGCTTTACTGTCTTCTTCCCTCATCGTCACCACGTCGATCTCAGGGTTCTGATGCCTTAACGTCCATGCCATTCCCTTCTGATATTGCCTGCCACCATCATGTCTGGTTCCTCCTCTCATCGTGATCAACCCTCACGCAGTTAAGCTTCTCTGCTTTTTGGTCTGGCCAAGCTTTTGTACTCATACTGCATACAACCAGGGGACAAATCCATCAACTACTCGCTGCCAGACCAGATGCTGTCGTATTCAGCTCATCCGATCTATCCGCCCATCTATAGTGGCGATGAACTCGGCCACCAGCCGGGGGCCATGACGCCGTCGGATGTCTCCTCGTCGATTTCACCACCCAACGGGCAGCTCGGCAACATCAAGTACAGCACACCCGTCGCCGGCGAATCCATCGCCTCGGCATTGGGTCAAGAAGAGGACCTGCGCCGCGCCGCCGAAGAGGATCGCCGGCGTCGAAACACCGCTGCCAGCGCCCGGTTCCGCATGAAGAAAAAGCAGCGCGAGCAAATCCTCGAACGGACCGTTCGGGAGACGACCGAGAAGAACGCCTCGCTTGAGGCCCGCGTAGCGCAGCTGGAGATGGAGAACCGATGGCTGAAGAACCTCCTGACCGAGAAACACGAGGCCTCGGCTGGCCGCATGGCTCCGCCCCCGACAGATAGCACGGCCCTGAACGGCAAGAGTAGTGGGCTGACTGGAAGCGGACAGAAACATATCCAGCCAAAAAAGAAGGGCGTGGGAACCGATAATTAAGCACCAAAGAAAAAGAGTCATCTCCTTCCTTGTCACGCAATCACCTCCTTTTTTTCGGATAGAACCATCCAGGGAATTCCATTTCATTGCATCTTTCCGCTTCTTGTCTCGGTTCTTTGCATTTCCTGTCTTCTGATTGCTCCTCTCTGTCCAACCACAGGGACGGTGTCACATGACGATGTAACGACCTTCCATTTCTCTGTCTGTCTCTGTCTCTGTCTCTCATCTCTCATCATCTTGTGTGTCTCATTGATTTCCTTTCACTTGCAATCTACGATGCAACCAGGTTTATTGTCGGTGTTATGGGGTTTCAGGAGGATCAGGCTGTAGGGAGAGAGCAGGCCTATAACTCCCAGTCTCGTATCCGCCATCACTGCCAAATATTCAACGGAGTTGAATGTGCACATTCCGTAAAATGATCACTACGTACAAGGGTGGACATACTTGCGGCTGACTGAAACTGAAATCAGTTTCAGGTATTGGCCCAGTCAGCTACCGAGGTACATATATAACCGCTTGATTACTCTCGATTTAAGCTGCTCCAAGAATAATCCGTATTTTCAAATCAAAAGCAGGAATAATTAGTGTAATATTACATTGTAAATTAGAACCTGAATCAACGGCCAGATTATACCACATATATCCGCATCAGACTTATAAATGCTGGTGCCCTCTACCAGCCGACCTTGACAATTGCTTGTGAAGCTGTATTAGAACCTAACCATGAGATCATGATCGGGCCGGGGTCGAAAGCGCAGCGTCTGAACACCGACAAGTGATGGGATAAAGGATGAGCGCCTTCCAGAGTTAAGTATTAAGGAGTAAGACGTAACCTCGTAGTAGGAGATAAAACAGATGAAACAAGACATTAAAAAACGAGGACAGAATCCCAGAGAGAGAAACGTCACCAAGCGAGCTGCGAACTGGAGTATATGGGGAAAAAGAAAAAAGTTCAAGGACGAAAGCAAGGGGATTATACTACAGAGACCCAAGAGCAGAGGTGATAGACAACCAGGTCTGGTTTCGCCATTACAAGCGCCGTTAGCTTCTGCTTTTTCTTTTCGATACACTGTCTCATCTCCGCCTCTCTAGGAAGCAGCGACCGCCTCTCTCGTCTCTTCTCGGCCCCGGGTCTCGACGTCCACGGTGCTGGAGGCTTCCTCGCCGTCTTCTCC